CAATATTCACTCCATAAGATGCACACACTTTCTCCCCATGTTTTTTGGAGAAAAAGTGTGTCTTTTGGTGCGAAAAATATGGTATTTCTCATTCAAACTTATCCATTATATGATTCTGACTACAACAGATCTTATGCCCTTCTCCCATACTAAATCATACTATATCCATATATATCTGCGCATATTATATTTCATATCCCTATTTCAAATATTTAGTTCAATATATATCATCCTAAATTTATAGTAATTTTTATAAATTCTTTCTCCTGCATTTTCATCTATCCAATTATCATCATAAACATTCCTGATTTCATCATTAAGATTACTTATCCACCAATAAAATTCAAATACGGCCAATACAATAATCAGAAATCACCATTTCTAAAGACAAAAAGATATTATGTCTAATCTATCCACATAGTCACTATTATAGTTCACATATATTTAATATCTCTATATGCGTGCCTTAGAAACAAAAGCATCTAATATTATATTCATCATAAACATTTCTAAGTCCATAATTTCATTTATTATTTATTTATTTATTCATTCGATTTATACCCCGCCCCCCCAGACAGTGACTACTTGGGGCGGCTTATCTACCATTAAAATCCAAACATGGCCAGAATTGCTTATAAGTATGTAATTAATTTATATGTAAATATGTATCTCTTAAACCAATGATTTCTATTACATTGAGCAATTATTAAATAATTATTAATTATTAAATATTAAAGCAATATTAAAGCACATTTAATAACTTTCTCCTTTTTTAATTGTGCTTATCAGCTCCAGTGCCATAAATCCAAAATTAGCCTCTTGCCTCCTTTTTACCAGTTCTAAAATGCCATCTATAAAATCTCTTTAAACCATTTTCTCTCCGGTTTACTAATTTTATCCCAATATAATTAATGTCTTGTCTTCGGAGCAATGCATATCTCTCTGATCTCTGGTCGTAAATTTCTACCCCCAGCTTCGCCCATTCGTCCTCCTTTACGTTCTTTCCCATCGAGGTAATCTTAATGTCCTTTTCCCCCCAGCCCTCCCTTTCCTCCTTTCCCTGCATTTCATCCTGCTTTCTAGGGAGGACAGTCTCTCTCTCTCTCTGACTATGCCAGTTCTTCGGTGGTTTGCTCAGTCGGTTTGTCTTCAATCTCTCTCTTAGCATATGATCCATGAAGTGTCACCTTAATTTCTGCCTTAGCTTTTGAGATCTCGGCCTTGTTTGATTAATAATGTTCAATTGGAATTCCTGAATACAGCTCTTGAAATAATCTTCCATTGTGGGTTTAGTAATGAAACTCACTCTCTATTTCCTTCTTTCCCACTCCATAGCCAAAAAAGTGAAACAGACTAATTAGATTCCCTCATAATTTATTGGCCAGTCCGAACTCAGACTCCTGCAAAGACCACTCCAGTCGTAAATCCAGCCGTAATAAGGATGATGTTTGATTTATAATCCACCTTTGCAGCTCAATGCAGAGTCATTTAGGTTAACTTGTTCAGAGTTATTTACAATTCTCAAGCCTCTAATTTATAAAAAGCTGGTTTTTCCATTCATAAGGGGAGAGGGGTTGAGAGAGAGAGAGAGAGGTTATTTAGTTTCATTTTCCATTCCTCTCCACTGTGACGCAGTGAAAAATCTTCTACATTCCAACATTCAGAGTTACCAAAGTTCTATGCCGCTTTGAGATCTTTCTCCTTGATATCAGCCTCCAAAAAAAGAAGTCTGATCTATTACTTGCTGTAGCTAGATAGCGGTTCATTTAATCTCTGTTGATGCAGTCAGATTCTAAATCTTCACATCTCCCTTCTCTCCAGGTAGCTATTCACCATAATGGTGACCTTCACAAGTCAGTTGCATGATAGGAGGAAAACTCTAGCGGAAAGACAGGTTGCCATCTGAAATCCAGCGTTTCCAAGCCCTACTTGCTGCAAGTTCACTCTCCTGTAGAAAACTTGCCCCCTTGGAGTAAAACCCAGGGGTTCCCAGAGCCCTAGGAATTCCCCTGTTCTCGCTGCCTGTTGCCCCCCCCCCCGAGAGCCTTTTTAGAAGGACATCATGGTTGATGTTACTGTAAAATGCTGACCCAGCAAAGGTCTTTAAATCTTGACAAATAATAAACTGAGATAGGATGTTGTTGTGCCAACCATGTTACTGAGAATGCAAGTGACAACTTGTTAATTAGTAGTGTAAATCTATTATGCTACTCCGATCATTGATTCAAAACTCTTTACTCTGAGTAATGAGTTTTTATTTTCATCATCCTTTAAATTCTTATTTCCATACAGATTTTCAAATTGTTAGTCTGATGTCAGGTCATAGTATCTGTCCACCCAGTGTTATATACTTTGATCTTTAGGTATGTTCTGAACTTTCACATGTTACTGTTGCTTGCCAGATGGAGATGTTAGAGGTGGATGAACTTGGGACATTCTTTGTAGAAAGCATCCTGTACTATACTGCTGAGCTTCAGTTCTATTTCAGTGGTTGTTCTTGTGATCATACCTCAAGATTGCTACTGTAATGTGCAAACAGCTGCACTTGGTCACTGTACCCTGAGTGTAGAAACACAGTTCATTGTAGATCAGTTCCAGTGTGTACATTTAAAGAACTTGGGCTTTGCTTGGTTGTACGTCACATTTTGAGACTAACAAAAGCTCTCATGTTAAACTCTATCCCAAATCCAGAGGATTAGAGTGAAAAGGCATTTTGGTGTCTTCTTTCAAACTCCATCAATAATTCAGTTTACCTTTTAAATCTGAACATCTTCTTGGTATGAGTTTCATAAATAGGCAAAAATCAAGATCAGAGTGTTTGCTAGGTTTTTTATTTGATCAGGAAGTTTTATTGATTCATTTCACAGTTATTATGACCTGCCTTAGGCTATCAAATATAAATACTGCAAACAGTGTTTGTCAGTGGCTGAAATCCTGCTGCTTATTATAGTAAGGCACACTACTCCATTTCCCCGAAAATAAGACCTAACTGAAAATAAGCCCTAGTATGATTTTTCAGGATGCTTGTAATATAACCCCTACCCCCAAAATAAGCCCTAGTTAAGTGAAACCTCGCCTGCATCATTGTGCAACAATCAGAAGAAGATGACATGACTGTATTTGAATAAACATAGATTGTTGTACATGAGGGAGAAAAAACATCCCCTGAAAATAAGCCCTAATGTGTTTTTGGAGCAAAAATTAATATAGGACCCTGTCTTATTTTCAAGGAAACACGGTAGCTCAGGAAATCTGTGGGGATTTGGTGCATCAACTCTGTAAGTTCCATTGATTTAAATTGACCTAAGTTGGTTGTGAATTGGTTACCCAGTGTGGTGTAGTGGATAGAATGATGGACTAGAACTCTGGAGGACAAGGTTTGAATCTCCACTTGACCATGGAAACTTACTGGGGAGTAGAACTGGTAAAACCCTTAAATATCTCACTTACTTTGGAGGCCTTATCAGGGTTGATAAAAGTCAATTCTGACTTGACTGCACAACACACACAATGTTGTGAAATACTTCAGTGTAGTAAGTCACAACAAAAGTAGACTCATATTTAATTGGTGGAGTTTATGGAATTCCATATCCCAAACCTATGCTGATTCAGGAGCCCTACTCTAGTATGACTTATTACACTAAGCAACAGGATTTCAGCCATTATTGGGTCATAGCCTGGTAGTGCAGTAATCCATGATGTCTCATTCCATGACAGCTACTCTAAAGTGCTGCATGTGCTGTATGTCAAGAAGTAACAGATTATGCTACTAGTTTTTTAAGAAAAAATTGCCTGGATAGAGTTGCAGTGCTTGAGTACTGAAAGATTAGGATGTTGTAATTGGTATTTAGAGGCAGACTTTTTTTGAGTGAAATAGGTATTTACTTCATGATCAAAGGGTTCCTCCTTCCCCAAATTTTTAGTTTGTGTTCACATACATCTACAGTAATGCTGAGCAGAAAGACTGTTTCTCCGCCTCTGTGTTTAGTTGAAATTGTAACGCTTATTCTGCATTTCAGATTTATTACAAAATAACAGGAAAGTGGAATGCTTGCCTACAGAAACTTTCTTTTCTTCCTTTTGTACAGTACAGCTTTAATCAACAGTTCCTTCTTCTGGGATTGGGTAATTTGGCCTCATTTGCATTTGAATTCTGCCCTGTCTCTATTATGCTTAATAAACAACCTACTTTCTAAGGTTCTAATTGAACAATAAAGAACACAAATTGTTCAATTGGCTGTATCTGCCATGAGCTTTATTTCCAAATAAACCTTAACATGCAAGTGTAACTTCATTTTTTGTGTTTTCTTGGCCTGAAGGTTGGTGTGGTTTCCAACTACAAGTTTACTAATCCAATACTTTTGTCTGTTTGGGGGAATATTTTACTTAATTTGCCTTTTTATATGAACGAGTGTAAAATGATGGGATAGCTACCCTTTGACTTGATGAGAGGTACATAGATTTGATTGTAGTATAAATCTATCCAGACAGAAAACCTAGGAGCTTTACAGCTTTTGCTAATACAGAGCAACAGTTTGTGATGTGAGATTGTTAACATTTATCATCTGCCCTTCAAGAAGTAGAAGAATGGATGTGAAGAAGTGACTCCACATGTGTTAAAGAGCTTGTATTTTCTATCTTTCATTCAGTGAATGAAGACACTGGAAATATTTAGGAAGGAGTTTGTGGATTACCTGACAATTGTCCTACCTTGCTTGAGTGTCAATGATGACATTGACTGCTACCTATCAAGAATTGGACATTCAGGATGCATGTTAACCCTTCGTGGATGCTGCTGAAGAAGGGATAGAATGGGAGAAAATACTTTTAAAACTGAGTGATAATTCTGCCTTTTTGCCCATCTATTTCCCTTTGAAAAACCTAGTTATAGCTGGGCACTCAAATGGAATTTAGCAGGCCAGCTATTTTATTTTCTCTTGGATTTGGCAAAGTTAAACTCAATTTAGTACTAATACTCCTTTCTGCCACTTTCCCTCTCATTATTTACCCATAATAACTGGGTGAAGCTGTAGGATGGCTTTTCTGTGAAACCCTTTTGTCTAACTTTCTCGTGTTACAAACTGGCAGGATCACAGGCCCTGTGACCCACAGTTTTTCAGCATCGATGAATACTTCTTTTGGACCTCAGAGGTTCTGGCTTATGCAGTGCTGTCACTTTGTGTATCTTTTCCTAGTCAATTGTCATTTGAAGTTAATTTAAATATAGTTAAGGAAGACAGAAATATACAACATTTTCCCTCTCATTTTCGTCATATGATTTTTCACCTTCTTGTCTGGAGAATCAGTCTTGTGTGTGGGCATGGGTGAATAAATCAGAGGAATCCTATTAGATCATAAATGATCCATAAAGGTTACAATGTACTTTTAATGATCATACTTCACCCCTCGTCCCACATTTTAGTGCTTAAAATTACATTATTTACTATTTACAATGCATGATGTCTACAAAAGTAATTGTCCGGCACTGGGTTAATAAAGGGACAGAATGTGTCTAACCAAGACAAAGCAATGCATCATTTCACAAAGATTGCCTTTTCTTTTTCAGGAGTTCCTTTGCAGGGCATCTGGCAGGTATTCTTGTTGGATTGATGTACACCATGGGACCTTTGAAGATGATCGTGAAAGCTTGTGCAGGTACAAAATGATGACATTGACTGCTACCTATCAAGAATTGGACATTCAGTGCAATTTTGAATGGAACATGAACAATGGCTTTAATTTATACTCATTAAAAATTCAGGGCATTTTATTTCCAATATGTCTAATTTTATGTTTTCTTACAGTCATATTTACATGGATAATTTGACAGAAATCATTTTTTAATTGGAAAAGATTGGAAAAGATTGCGTCTTAGAACTAGAGTTCTTGGACTGTTCTTTGTCAAAATATGCTATGTTAGATTCTTGTCAGGATGTATGTATCCATTCTTTAGGAGAGGAAAGTTGTATTGTTACAAATCACACGATATGTCATTGAATATTTTCATTTTATATGCAGCTTATTATGTGGGCTGGATATCTCAGTGAGTTACGTATCTGGTTGCAGAGCTACTGGTTGCGAGTTCAGTTCCCCACTGTGTATCCCAGAACAACCAGCCTATATGTCCTTGGGCAAGCTGTCCAGTCCCAAGGTGCCCCCAGAAGAAAGGAATGGTAAACCACTTCTGAGTACAGTATTCTCTACCAAGAAAACCCTGAAAAGTGTTGATATAAGTCAGAATTGACTTGATGGTACACAATTATTATTATCATGCTACTGGTTATAGAAAATATGTATTGTGCATCTGTGGACAATGTGATATCATATTGTTTATAAATATTGATTGTATTATTTTTCATAGGTGTCCTTATCCCCTTGACTGGCTTTTCACAGCAAAGAAACAGCTACAATCCACGTGAGTAACTTGGGCTTCTGAATAGCCTACCTCTTTCCTACTTCTAAATAAACATGTAAATTGTGGTGGTATTTATCTTCTCTTCTGAGAATTTCGTACACTCACACATACCCATGCACTCGGAAAGAAGCAAATGAGAAATTTCAGTGTATCTTTCCAGGCAGAACTTAGATGCCAGATGTTTAGGGTTTGTTGGTATTCTCTCTTAATGGGGAGGCATTCCTATTCCTGCTTGGCATAACCCACTAGTGTTATAACAGGAGGAGGTATAGGTAGATTAAATCTTTGTTGAATCAGAGTCAGAACATCTACCTGTGATTGCATGAAGGTCACCCTCATCCCAACCTTATCTATCTGTCTGTCTCTCTGTCCGTCTGAGACATGTAAAAGAACATAGCTCAGTACATTTAACAGATCTTATTGTCATGTAGTCTGATGAGTTATTACCTTACAGCAGCATATCCTTCAGTACACAAAGAGTACAGTATACAAAAAATACTGATATCTTCAATATCAGTTATATGCTCAGAATAACCTAAAAGAGAGATGCATGCCTAATACAAATGACCTCATGACTACAGTAGTTCACTGACATAATTATTTATTTATTTATTTATTATGCTCAGAATAACCTAAAAGAGAGATGAATGCCTAATACAAATGACCTCATGTCTACAGTAGTTCACTGACATAATTACCAGTCCTTGAGTTTGGATGGCGAGGTAGTTCTTTGTAGGAAGCTTATCTTCTTTCTTCACAATTTAGCAAATGGGCAAAATCAGACAATGATGTAACATTTTCTGTGGGTCCTCTCAACCCTTCTGAAACAGCCCCTTCTTTCCACAACCAGGCTGAATTGCAAGATTTAATTCTTAAACAAAATAAAACAAAACAAAAACAACAACTATGGTTTACATATTGGGGATATCATGCTTCTCTATCCATGATTCAAAACACCAGGGAATGAATGGCCCGATATTGCTGCACAATATTGTTCCTACTTTGCCACCAGGAAGAAAAGATACCAAGCTTTATATTGTGGAGGGCAACCTGAATGTTGAGATGGTTTGGAGGATATCCTCTTGTGCTCACTACCGCTCACAAAAATACATCAAGCAAGGGAAAAACCCCAGAAGCTGACTCCTTTTTTCATCAGTTAACCACTTCTTTGCGAAACACAAAACAATTGTCAGGTCTATTTTTGTTTTGCTTGATGTCTCTTTGTGACTGGTAGTGAGCATAAGAGATTATCCTGTAAGTAATCTTGATACTTGCCATAAGTCTTGTCAGCGTTCAAGATTCCCTTTGCTATGTAGAGTTTGATATTCTTTTTTTCCTGCTGTCAAGGAGGTATTTTGAATCGTGGATAGAGAAGCACAGTATCTCAATTCATAAACTGGAGGGTTTTTTATTTAAGAATTGAATTTCCTGGCTTTTAGAACAGAAATAAAGTAAAATTGGTTTTCTGATATTTTATTTCTTTTATAAATATTACAGTATAAACTGCTTTGTAGTGGAAATGCAGGATATAAACGTAACAAATAAGTAAAATGAACACATTGTGGCCTAATAAAAAAAGTTGGTATCTTGTTGATTATCTGTTTAGTGAGGATGTGGGATGAGACAATTCTGAATCAAGCCAACTGCTTTCTCAGGCTCAATTAAAGATGATCTTAATTTCAAAAACTGTAAGCAGCTTTACAACTGGCTGTATTAGAGATCTAGTATGTCATGATGAACTGATCTAGTTATTCAATTATAAATGAGGACCTTCTGAAGATACCATCACTTGGCCCAGTTGATATAGGTGCATATAAGAGATCAGTATTCTTCTTAAGTTGTGGAATGTACCGTATTTTTCGCTCCATAAGACGCACAGACTTTCCACACCCCTGTTTTGTGGGAAAAAAGTGAGTCTTATGGTGCAAAAAATACAGTACTTTCGTCATGGTTGCGTTCATCCCCCTGTGCTTAATTTGGGCTTACAGGTGGTTTTTTATTGAAATGACATTAGATTTTTAATGTATTTTTGATATGGCTGTTTTTACTGTATTTAATGTACATCACTTCTATAGTTGCCTACTGCCAGTAAGCACAGACTGCTGAAAGGAAGAGGCTGTCATAGTTTTTTAACATACATAACAATAATAGAAGTAAAAAAGTTGTGGTCCCTTAGATCAACAGATTTATTTCATTGTGAGCGTTTGTAGATTACAGCCCACTTCCTCAGATTCAAGAGTTATTCAGTAGCTGAAAACTGCTAGATTTCTAATTTAAATTTATCTGTAAAGTATTGGGTTTTTAAAATGCTAATCAAGGTTAATTTTTTTAAACATACAGCTTGGAAATAGTTTTCTCTAACATGAACACTCTGCCTTTTATTGTAAAGAATACACTTCACATGCAATTATGACTTCATATACAGATTAATATTAATTTTACTAATTTTACTAATTGATTTTTACATTTATTAGCTTTAATGTATTTCATGACATTTACGAAGCAAGAGATACTGAAATTCAATGTATTATATATGTTCCTTATTGCATGTTAATTTTCACTTTGCATATCTTTTTATGAAGAGTATTCTGGATATTCTGGTTACACATCATACCCATCAAGGGACTATAACACATATACTGGTGGACTAAGTGAAGAGGAACAGTTTGAAAGGGCAGTAAGAAACAGTCTGAATGAGAGAGGTAAGGTTACCATTCATGCTTACATTATCTGCAAGGTATATTTACTTGTTGAAGAATAATTGTTTGTATTTCTTTAGTACAGTTATGCATATTTTAAAAAAGCAAAGCATGGCTTCAATAATAACCTTAGAACTATCACATACACCATTTTATACAACTAGTTCCCACTTCCAAGTAACCTGCCCGATATTCCAAGTTTTTGAAAGGAGAGCCAAGCTATGCAAGACTAGCCCTTTGCAGAAAGAGAGTAGGACAATGAAGCAGAAGCTTGTTGGAGTTAGATATTTCCCATGATGAACTGATACCACAAAAATTGATACAGGTAGTATTTATCTTTCTGTTTTCAACAGGCTACTTGATTGGTGCCTTTAATTCCTGATTAGTTTCTTTAAAAATAATTTACTGTATTAAATTAACATGTACTTGTTTTAAGCATATTTCTTCAAATGTACTTGAAATGTATATTTCATATGTATTTGAGGAATATCTCAGTTTTTGAAATTATATGATACAAACACAGTTGGCTTTTGCCACAGATGTTTTGGTGGTTTTGAAAATTCTAACCTAAAGGAACATTGGAACAACATGTGAAAATCTTATATTTTCATATGTCGTTCCAATGTTAAGTTAAAGTTAACTCTCTTTTCTCTCTGTTTCTGTTTCTCTTTCTCTCTCTTTATAAATCACAAACTAATAATTTAATGTATCAAAACTAAGTTTAGATTAAGCACAGCCATTCAGTGTATATAATATAATTAAAATTAATTCAGTATAGTAAAACAAATGTAAAATAACAAAAATTCAATAAATTTAACAAAATGATTCATTCTAGAAAAAAATAAAAATTCAACTGCAGTTCTAAGTTTTTTTTTTAAATTATGACTGACTTGTTTAAAGCAATATTATTAAGTGCTGTCAAGTCACCTCCACCTATGACAATTCTTTGAATGAGTGACCACCAGAATATCCTATCATTAACAGCCCTACTCAGCTCTTACATCCTCAGACCTGTTGCTTGAGTCAATCTACTGCACATGTGGTCTCTTATATTTGGTCATTTCTTTCTCTCCCTCCCTCCTCCTCTTCCTTTCTGCCCACAACTGCAGATTTTCTTTTCCACCAAGTCATATCTTTTCATGATGTGCCCAAAGTACAGCAATCTTAGTTTCATCCTTTTTGCCTCTAGAGAGAGTTCAGGCGGAGTTTGATCTAGAGCCCACTTGTTTGTCATTCTGGCATTCCAGAATGTCTGCAAGGTTCTCTTCTTGCATCATATTTTGAGAGAATCAATTTTTTTCCTGTTGACCTCCTTCACTGTCCAGCTTTCACATCTGTAAAAAGTAATTGGAAATACAGTAGTGTTAGTGATCTTGTACATACTTGGTTTCCACTGACACTTCCTTGTATTTTATTGCCATCTCTAGTTGCTTTGTAGCAGCCTTCCTGAGTCTCAGTCTTTTGATTTCTTAATTGTAGTTTCCATTTAATTTGATGATTGCATCCAAAGTATACAAACATTTAATTATTTCAGTTTCTTCATTAAGAACACTAAAGTAATGGAATTCTTCTGTAATCATATTTTTTCTTAATATTCAGTTGCAGTCCTACTTTTGTACTATTTTCTTTCACCTTTATTAGGAATTGTTTCACAGTATTGTTGCTTTCTGGCAGAATATGGTATAATCTCCATGTCTTAAATCATTGATTTTTCTTCCATCAATTTTCATTCTACTTTTATTTGAATCTAGTCCACTTTTCCATATGATACGTTCTGTGTGCAAATTGAACTAATAGGGAGATAAAATATATACTTGTCTGATAGCTATGCCTTCTCTTTCACCATATTCTGCTCTAGTAGCTGTATCTTTAGAAATTAAGTTACCTATCAGGATAATCAAATGTTGAGACACACACCTGTCTACATAATAAAAGCTTTTGCTGTAGTCTATAAAGCAGAAACTTATTTTCTTCTGAAATTATTTGATATGTGAAACCAGCCTGAACATCAGGCATTTTTTGCTCCATATAGGGTAAAAGTCTTTGTTGCAACATCTTGAGAATCACTTTGCTTGCATAGGACATTAATGTAGTAGTCCTATAGTTACTGTACTCTAGCATCTCCTTTCTTGAGCAGTGAGACGTAAACTGAACATTTCCTGGCTGTGAACTTTATAAGGAGATAGAGCAACATAAATCTGGAGAAAGCCACCAAAAAAGAAGACATTGCTGAAATAATTGTTGAGTTTCTTTGTTATCTGAAAAGAACAGTCTTTGTAATTTTGTTTGTTTGTTTGTTTGTTTGTTTGTTTGTTTGTTTGTTTGTTTGTTTGTTTGTTTGATTGATTTATATCCTGCCCATCTGGTATATTTATACCACTCTGAGCGGCTGTATTTGGATGTAAACCTTTTAAGAAACTACACTCCAGTACTAGGAGAGAAGTATTTATAAAGGATGACAATGACTTTTCGGTATCACAGGGACTGACCTCTTCCTAAAATTCAGCTCTTTCTTCCAATCCCTGGAGGAGGTGGCTGGATTACAAGGGGTGCCTGTCCCACCCTGGAATGTCAGGGTTGATCACCATCACCATGCAGTGCTACAGCTTTAAGGTAGACCCTGTTAATGTGATTTATTTGATTCTCAAAATCAGTAACATTTGGGGAAGGACAGTTTTCTTATGTATTCTGAGTGGGTATCTTTCTTGCATAGGTTATGTAAAGCTACGTCCTCTGTACATACATAACTTATTTTTGTTTGTTTGATTGTTCATTCATTTACATTTCTGTTTACATATCTCTCAATTAAGAGAGTAGTAGTTATTGTTCATGTGTGGCTTGAAAGGTTAGAATAATGTGAATTTAGCAGTGGGGCAATTAACTTTCTTTGGAGCCCTGCGTAGGACAAAGGGATGTGAAATCTTGTGTTTTTTCTGCCCTTCCACATTAAGGCCAACTTAAAACAATCCAACCTCAAGCCCAAAATATACAAGAAGAGCAACTGAAATGTGAAAATGATGAGTGTTATTTGTTGTCATAGAGTGAGGAAGACAGCAGAATTTTCACTTAGCATCAAAATATAACAGTGCTAGTGCCAAATTCTTGGAGAAGGAGATCCCCAGTCTAGATGCCCAGGTGCTGCCACAGAAAAGGCCACATCTCTGGCAGTTTGATTATTGCCCATCTTAAATTGCCAGCTGTACTTCCATAACCTTTTTAAATATCTCAGCTTTCACCATTAATAGAAAACTTTTGCATACCCTCCAGTTCTTGGCTAGGATGTAGGAAGTGTCAAGTGCTTCCTCTTACATTGTGTTGTATAATAGTTTTAAATAGCTCTAGATGCTCATTAGTTTGTGTTCCCAGGAAATATGCTGGCTTATGATTGGCTTCTCTTTACAAAGCTGCAGCTGTGTTCATTTACTTCCTACATGAAAACTACCACACAAAAAGTCAATAAATTGAGTTACTAATAATACTCATTGAAATCACTAACAAGAGAATAGATGTCAGAATGATGGTGTATCTGGTACAGTTGATACAAGCAAATAACTAGAAAGCGATTACTATCATGGAAATTATGGGTGCACAAGTCTGAGAGTCACCTGAAATTGCACTGTATTCCAAGAATAAAATGTATTTCTATTATTTCCTGAAAAAATTCTTGAAATTGATCTTTGTGTCTCATAGGGACTGGTACATGAAATTCATGTTCTAGAGCAGTGGTCGTCAACCTTGGGCCCCCAGATGTTCTTAAAGTTCAACTCCCAGAAATCCTGGCCAACAGAGATGGTGGAGAAGGCTTCTCGGAGTTACAGTCCAATAACATCTGGAGGCCCAAGGCTGGGGACCACAGTTCTAGAGAATGATGAGCACACATACAGTAGAATACCTGAAATCCTGTTGGGTGACATGAGCAAAGTCGTCATTGTCTTCTTCTTCTTCTTCTTCTTCTTCTTCTTCTTCTTCTTCTTCTTCTTCTTCTTCTTCTTCTTCTTCTTCTTCTTCTTCTTCTTCTTCTTCTTCT